GCCCCTCGGAGCAGGTGTGAGCGAGGGGCCACCGGCCAGGAGGTGCTGGCGCGGCCGGGAGGGGCTCAGCGCCCGGCGGTACTGACCGTGCTGCCCTGGCTCTGCAGGGTACAACGCCTGGAGACGGTTCTGTGGGCTCTCGCAGCCCCGCGATGTGGCGGAACTCTCCGCGGTGCTGAGGAACCCCGAGCTGGCCAAGCGGTTCCTAGCCCTGTACGGGACGCCGGACAATATCGACATCTGGATCGGGGCGCTGGCGGAGCCGTTCGTGCCCAATGGCAGAGTGGGGCCTCTCCTGGCTTGCCTCATTGGGACGCAGTTCAGGAAGCTGCGAGATGGGGACAGGTAAGCTGAGGGGCAAGTGAGCTTTAGTCGCTACGGGCAGCTGGTGCCGTGCGCTGCTCCATCCTCTCCCCAAAGGGTTCGTTTGGTTCCCGAGCCCGATGGCTCAATCCCGGAGCTTCCTTCGGTAATTAAAGGGAAGGGCAGCTCGTTAATTAACCCGTGTGTGGCTGGCCAGCTGCCCTCACTGATGCGCGGGTGGGTTTTCGGGGGCTCTGAAGAAAGGTGAAATGCCCCTTTAAATCGCTGTTAACGGTGGCCATTTCTCTGTCCTCATCCTGGGCGGATGAATGCAGCCTGCCTCAAACCACCACACAAATGCAAACACGAGGTCAACTTCAATCTCTTCCATGTGGGGCCACTTTTAAACCATTTCTTAGAACCGCAGCGTGAATGCGCCTGGTAACACTGCAGCAGCATTTCCCTCTTGACAATCACGTCACCACCATTCTCCCATCATTTATGCCATGCAAAGGCAGGAACGGTAACACGCAGAAACCTGGAGGGGAACATTTTAACCTGCTTAGGCACTCAGTCATGGATTTACAAGTAGCCAGGGGCGGATATAGGGCAGGGCGGCCACCCCGGGCCCCGCGCTTCAAGAAGCCCCGTGCATGCAAAGGGGAGCCTCGCGAAATTGTGCTGCCCTGGGCCTCGCAAAATGGTCATCTGCCCCTGCGAGTAGCCATTCTTCTACAAAGGAATTTCACCATCCAGTTACAGAGAGCGAGCAGAATTGGTATTCATCTGCAAATCTGACACAATTACCCCCGTCTGGAACAAAGACAGGATGTCGCTTTATAAAGCCAGTCTCCCCTGCCTCTAATGCTGCATTTTTACATCAAAAGCTAAGAATGGGATACTTCCAGCCCACCTAATTAGCCCCATTAGCGGGGGCCCTACAAGTGACAGGTACTTTATCTGCTGTTCTGTGTATCTCTTGGTTTCTGTTATTTCCCCTCCAGCTCATCTGAAGAAGTGGGTTTGGCCCACAAACGTTCATGATCCTGTGTATTTTCGTTGGTCCCTATGGTGCCGCAGGACCACTCATTATTAAAAGAATGTTCATGTAGTTTGCAAAGCCGAGTGCTCAGAGGTCAGGAAATGCCAACATTACGGCTGCCTGCAATCTCAGTTCAGCACCCTTGTCATATGCTTTTTGACAGTTATTTTAATTACACGGTGGAGTGTTGTAGGGCTTCTGGGGACAAATGGCATCAGTCAGTACACAGAGCTGAAGAGAGAATGAGTCATTTCCTCACGGGCAATTCCACGGCATCTCCCATAGTATCACAGATGTCAGAGAATGTCCCTTCAGTGAGTTGGAAGGCACTATGGGCCCATTTTACAGATGGGTGCAGAGCTATTAACTTCATAACTTAAAAGAGTTTGTTCCTCCTGGCTGCAGGTGGGGGCTCTGGGTTGGGGGGGGGCAGGGCTGGGGGAGCTGATTGGATCTTGGTGTTGAGGGCATGGGTTTACCTTGGGCGCCTCCCGGTCCGCAGTGCGCCATGAAGCTAAGACAGGCTCCCTGCCTGTCCTGGCTCTGCACAAGCCCTGGGAGCAGCCAGGGGGTGGGGTTAGGAGGCTCAGCGCACTGCCCCTGCCCACAGACACCGCCCCCTAGCTCCCATTGGCCAGTTCTCAGCCAATGGAAGTCCAGTCGAGAACTGGACAGCCGGCCCCTGCGCAGTGCTTGGGTGCTGTGCCAGGGGCGAGGCTGCATGGTGGGGGGGGAAGAGCCAAATGTGGGGGAGCAGAGAAACTGCCCACCAGCATGAAAGGGGTTAAAGGGAGCCCTCGGGCTAGCTGAGCCTGGCCCTGCTCTGTCTGCAGAGGAGCCTGGCGGGAGGCGCTTCGGCTACAGGAGACTGGTTCACATTAGAAACAAACACACTTAAAACCTGGGCCCACTGCAGCTGGTGCAGCTATTCTGCTGCGGCCGCATCCCCAACTGCACACACACAGACACACTACACCCAATACGCTCACACACACACCCAAGACTCTCACACACATACACACACACAGGCAAAGTTTCCTTATACTGGTGATACCCTTTCCCACCTGTACCTACCTTACTCTTCTTTTATCCACTGTGCCCTTAGGGCTCTTGAAGGCAGCAAATTAAATGAGATTGGAAATCCAGCTGAAACACATGGCAGAATCCTTCAACACAGAAGCAAATGTCCAATCTCTCTTTATATTAAAGGCGAGCTGTGTGAGTTTATGTTCTGAATTATGATCTGAATTGCATTCAGCCCCACACACACTACACCCAACGCACACGCACGCGCACACACACACACACTACACCCAACACGTGTGCGCATGCACACACACACACTAAACCCACACCCACACCCACTACACCCCCCCCACACGCTACACCCAACACACACAGACTACACCCAACACACGCGGCACCAGGGCTCACCCTGTGCCCAGCCCAGGCTGTAACTTGCTGTGTTCTGCTTTCTTGCAGGTTCTGGTGGGAGAGCCCCGGGGTGTTCACGGCTGAGCAGCGCCGGGCCCTAAGCAGCAGCTCCCTGCCCCGGGTGCTCTGTGACAACACGCGCCTTAGAGAGGTGCCCATGGACCTGTTCAAGGTCAACCGCTACCCCGAGGACTTTGTGAACTGCAGCACGATTGACCGGCTTGACTTGTCACCATGGCAGCAACGCAGCAGCTAGGGAGAGGAAGCATCCGGTGCCACCTCCATCCAGTTCCCTGGAGGGCTGGATTCAGGCTGCTGCTGGCGAGGGATTCTCTCCTACTTCAGTGTAACCCAACCAGTGACGCTTTCTCTGGCCGGAATGCGCAGCCTCGCGGCTGCTGCTTTATCTGTGCTTGCAGAGATCTGCTTCCCCGTGAAAAATCGTCCCACCCTGTCACTAGTGTGCGAGGGGCCATTGCTCGGAGAACGAGGGCTTGCTAGGGACACGAGCTCCCAAAGTCCTGATGGAATCAAAGCACAAATCGCTGATCGTAGGCTGCTGCTGGCACCTCTCCGAGAGCTTCTGCTTTCTTAGCATCCAGGTGACCGATTCCCTTGCGGGTCTCTCATTTAAGATGACCCCAATAAAGCCTGATTCATGCAAACGCGTATCCAGGTGTCACCCCTCCCGTTTCCGATTGCTGGCCCCAGATGGAACAAATAGGTGGGTAGAAGCATGTTAACGAAGTTTCACATCTCCACGCCCCAGGCAAAGGGTGGCCACTGCTCCTGAGTCCTGAGTCCTGGGCATCCATCGCCCCCTGCTGGTTTGCCCCCTGTGGTCCCGGCACACAGTCAGAGAGGTTCTGCAAGCCACAAGCGGCGCAGCCAGAGCCTTTGGGAAGCCAAAGGAAGAGAAAAGACCCAGCACTTCCCCGTCCGAGGGAGCCTGGGTGGACCCTGCTCTTGGACCTTCGCCTGGCCTGCAGTCCCTGCTCCCAGGGCCCGAGGGCTCTGAACTGGCACCCTGCTCCCTCGGAGCACCACCCTGTCGGAGCCCGTCGGGACCCACCTGGCTGGGGCTTCAGGTGCCTGCCAGCCACAGCTGTCTGTGCCCAGAGGAGCTCTCCACTGCTTTCTGACGGGGGAGGAGCCAGGCTCCCGCAATCGCACTAAAAAGTAGGCGTGGCTGGGGCAGGAGCACGCCCAGGGCTAAGAGTGCCTGGCGCTGTCCGTTTCAGTCGTCACATGGCGAGGCCCGGACTTTTCCACACGTGCCGCAGGTCCATTTTCTGGCACGTTTGAGCTAAGTTGCTCAGCCACTTTGGAGAAGACCCTTTGGGCCCCGGGTGGAGTGTTTTTGTTTAAAACCTGTTGGGTAAAGGTCTCCAGGCCAGTTCTCCAGCTTCACTGCACCTCAGCCCCTTTCTAGCATCAGAAATTACCACACGACCCCCAGGTGGGGAGCTGTGGCCTGAGCCTGCTCGAGCGCCACCACCCCAAGTGGGGGACCAAAGAGAACCCCAAGGAATTCAGCCCTGGGAGGAGACCTGTCACCAGAGCCCTATGGCCCCGGGCTGAAGCTGAAGCCCTTAGGCAGTAGCGATCCAGTAGGATTCAGGCCTGGGTCCCAGCAAGTCTGACGCCAGCCCCAGAGACCCCCATGAAAACAGACCCCGACCCACAGCTTGAGAACCTCTGCTCTGCTCCATTGGGAGGAGAGTTTGGAACGTTTGTGGGCCCGAGGGACACCTCTCCCTTCGTTCAGGCTCAGAAAGCCACCGCTTCCAGGTGCTCTGTGCCGGTCGCTAGCCGCCAGCTCAGGCTGAGAGCACTGCCACTGGCGGAGGCGGCTGTCACAGCGTTCGGCAAGGACCAGTGCTTGGCTAAAGGACGTGGCATCTGTGGACCAGAAAAGGCCATGCACCCATGCCATGCCCAGAGTCCTACTCCATTGTGATGTCACAAGGAACTCAGCCAATCACCATCCTTGTGCTGCAGTTAATTTGTATCAAACAATTTCGTTGGCGGTCATGTCAGTGACATGAAGGAGACAACCCGGATGCTGGGTTAGCGGGCACAGCTGCCACCCGTGCAACTTGCTGTGAACAACTCAGCTCACATCCCTCGGCACAACCCTCCCAGACACAGCCCAGCTCATCACCCAGCAACACCTACACACAACTCAGTGCAAACACCAGGACAACGCCTCGGGCACCAATCAGCACAGCCGCCCACCCAACAACACAGCCAGCAATGTCAGCCACACACAGCACGCACCCCGCGCAACATGCACATGTACAGGGAGATACGTCTGAGCAAGGCCGTGGCCAACACTAGTAAACACATACAATCCTTGCAGACGGCGCGAGGCTGGGTTAGTGGCAAATGATGAAGAGAGACCAGTTCAGGCCTGTGTGGGGGGTAGGGGGGAGAGGTGTGTGCAAAGGGTGCCAAAGCACCCCCTGTGGTCCCCCAAGTAAGTGTGCTCCCACCAGAGCAGTGTGCTGCCCAAGCCGCCCTCCCCCATGCTCAGGCTGGCCTGGGGAAGGCTGGGGATGATTTTCCCATTTGCTTGGGGAACTATGGGGGGGGCATGCACACCCTTGCAGTTCACATTTACAAAAAAAGCCTTCCCCTCCCCCCCCACAGAAATGCCTGCGTCTGGGCCTGCAGTTAGAGAAGTCAAAGTTGATCACTTGTTAAATTGAGTGCGGTCTCCATTTTCATACAGCCAGTCGCACAAGAGGAGAGTCCGGACCATAGATGAGAGTGAATCAGAAAAGAATGTAGAGTCCATGTAGATACAGTAACTGACTGCAGCATGGACCCTCGGTGAGAGACGTCACGTACAACACTTAGCTGTACAGTGTAACTCAGATGCAAACGTTGGATATCGAACCGACTGTCTAGTAAGAACCGGGAAGTGGGAGGCAGAGCTGAGTGAAAAGTGGCTGTGGTTTCCGGCTGGAAGTGGAAACAGAAAAACGGGCAAAAAATGCCATTCAGTCTGAATTCCCTTTTTCCCCATTTTTTGTTGTATAAAAACAAAAGATTGTTTGGAATTGACCAAAATACTTTAGCTGACTTAAAAAATTGTAGAGGTTTTTTAATTTTGTGATTTTGGGGTGTTTTCACTCCTTTTCGTGCTTTTTCTTTTTTAATTGGACAAATGTGCAAATGAAATGCCGTTTCAAACTGAAAGGTCAAACTAACATTTTGCGATGCTCCAGGTGAAATGTTTGGATGGTGTTGGAATGAGATTCAAAGTTGCAAGTGTTTTTAGAGCCCCTCCTAAGTATTTTTTGTCAACACTTCTATTCCCAGAAAAAAACACCCCAACTCGAATGGCTTTACCGTTGTGAGACACTGGCATACTGCATGCACTCTGGTGCACACGGCCAGAAGTTATTGGAAACGAGAGAGCCCAGAAAGATTCAAGATCTACTCGGTCTCGCAGCACATGATAATAGCAGTGTCACTTTCAAACCTGTGGTCTATGAAGTTTGTGCGTCTCCTGGCCCTTAATTTTTTGAATGTGCCACTCAACCCAGCTGCGGCTACTGCATTTTCTGGGCATAAAGCTGGGGATCCAGGCAGGGGCCTTTGAAACCTTCTTTGTGTTGCTGCTTGTCTCCCTCCGAAAGTCGCCTTTGGGCTGCGGTAGGCGGCTCTGCAGAGAGATCTCGCCTGTGGCTGTATGAGGGGAATGGAGCACCAGCCCCGGAGTTACGGGCCAGGCAGCCTGGCGGGGGTGAGATGTTAGAGCAAATTTCTGGACAATCGTTTTGTGGCTCTGGGAGGACCATGGAGTGATCAGTAATCGCCAGTGTGGACAGCAAATGCTGCCAGACCCACCTGGCTTTTCTTTGGCAGAGACCCTGGCCCAGGGCACGTGGAGGAAGCAGGAGATGTAATTATCTGGAGTAGGCCTGACGCGGTCCCACGGGGAAACGAGTGGCCCGGTGGCACATCAGAGACTAACAACGAGATAGATAGACGGTGGCACGAGCTCTCGTGGGCACGACCTGCCGTGCGGGGAGCAAAGGCGCTGGAGTGCTGCCTCATCAGCAAATGCCGGAGTCTGGCCACTCTGGCTTTCTTCAGGCTGGCGGGCGGTGGGCCCAGAGAGCGAGGTGCTGTCCTGCCCTTGCCCTGGGCCACATGCACCTGCAGGACCAGCGGATTCTCAGGGCGAGAGGAGCAGACAGCTGAGGGCGGGAGGGGCTTGCTCCAGCCCTCCGGCAGCCAGCACTGGGTGAGGAGGAGGGCGGGAGGCCGGGCATGGCCGGACTGTCAGAGAGCAGTTTACAGGGGTACTCGCTAGCCCCTTAGCGAAATCTTCAATGGAGACTTTGCACAGAACTGGGCCCAGAACCGATCCCTGCGGAACCTGGCTCATGCTGCACTTCCAGCATGACTGGGAGCCATTGGGACCTGCTCTCTGGCTTTTCCATAGTCTCTGCAAAAGTGAGGAATTAAGGAGCCTTCTTTGCTGACTTACCATCCTGGAAACCCAGAAAGAAAAGCATTTTTATTATAAAGAAATCAAAGAATGCTAGCTAAGCGGCATCGTATCGCTGACAATCCTCAGTCGTTCAAAGCCCAGTGGAAAATTAGCAAACAAGCCAAGCAGAGTCTCAGCAAACGAGAGATGGTCCAAGTTCACCGCAGTGAGATTCTTGTGCAGACAGCGTGGCCCAGAATGCCACCGCCACCGAATTCTGGGAAATCAGGCACAGAAACGGCTGGGCACTACAGCTGATTTTGTGTGAATTTCATCGGAAGGCAGCTTCTAGCTCCTTGTCAATGACTCAGGGGTCACTTCGAAGCCTCCTTTCCACGCCGCTCTGTCTGTGCCATCCCGGTTAGCACCTATTGCAGCATCGTGCTGGGAGGGTGCTGGACACTCACTTCCATATGGCTGCATCTCGCTGAAAAGCCTGGTGCAAAGCACGGCCAAGCGGAACACTAGCGGCGAGGCTGCATGCTCCTGGCAGCAAAGCTTTGGGGTGAACGGGGTGAAGAGCCTTAATCCCCTGAATCCAGCCCTGCGGGAAACTTCAGCGGCCATCACGAAGCGTCACCGGATGCTTCTTCTGGGGGGGGAATGGGCCGGGTGTTAGTAAAGCAGAGGAGGCCCTTGGAAGGCCGGGCTCGGTGCCGGTGCAGGGGGGTGCAGGCTAAGCAGGAAGAGGACAGGCAAGAGGACAAAGGGGAGAGAGGCCGGGCCGTCCTTAGGCATAGGCAGCACGCGCAGGTGCAGCGCGCACCACGAAATTTGGGGCACAGTGGTTAGGAGAGCCCTGTGCTGCATATGCCTAGGGCCACGGCTGGCTGCGTGCAGCACCAGCTCCAGAGGCCCCAAGCTCCTGGACCCCCCCCCTCCCCTCCCCCCCCGCCCCCCGACGCCCACCC